ACAAAGCCTGATGTTATATCTCTTAATTCATCACAGTTAGAAGCAGATACTATATGGAACTGGCCTGTCTTTAACACATCAGCCCTTAAAATGAAATCATCTTGATGAGCATCTGCTTTTCTACATAATTTGAAAACTTTCAAATGGCACACAATATTCAAATATCAAATTTGGAAGTCCAGGAGGAGCTAGCTGCTGAAAGACCCACTGCTGCAAAGATGCTCAACAGGCAATAAGGGCCAAAGTTTTTCTAGAGAAGACATTTTCGAAGTGGTTTTAATCATTATCATGGAGAAATTAAAAAAAAAAGAAAGAACAAAAAAACCCATTACCTGTGGTTGGCATTGTGGCTAGGCAATATTACGGTGACAAAGAAAGTATATAAGCATGTAATACCCAGTAAGTTAAATCTTGTCTGGAATGAGTTGCCTCCAGAATTGGAAGCAGGATAGCTGCACGAGCATGGCTCTGAGCCCAGACTAATTAGCCCTGCTGAGAACATGTTAACATGGCTATTTCGCTTCCGGGACCCAAGCTAATACGGCTGAATGGTAAAGCATTACGCTACGCGGACAACTCAAATGGGTTTGGAGATAGATCAATTATCTACACAGTGATGCATTACACAATATAGAAATAAAAAGAATGTTAATGACCCAGTTACCCCTAGTCTCAGTAAAGGCATGGCTAGACTATTTCCAGGACAAGAAAAACACCTCCTAACTTTTACACACAAGCAGCCCCACGGCAGAGACCACCGGAGACCCTGGACTTGTAGTCGCGGAGGAATAGCTCCCTCCTGCCATTCCGGGAATACAAATTGCATTACAGCACCAGACGGGAGGCAAGGTTGTAGCCTTGAACTCTGCTTATGTTCATGGCTTTGGAAATAAATCACATTACCCAAAGGTGGAATGCAGGGTGTGTCCTGGGCTCTCAACTGAGGAGCTCTTAAAATGATTACATTCCAGTGTGTTTAGAAAGTACAGTTTAACCAAGAGGGCTGTGCCTAATTGCTATATTCTTGTCCCCAGGTACAGCGTGGTATATATGAGGGTGGAATGGCATACCAAAAAAAAAAAAGACAAAGAGCTCACTTGTTCCCACTAGAACAAAGGCCACTTCTGGATACTGAACACTTCGGGAAACATGGGAAAGCATCAGGGGCTGAAGTCTGGTTTCTTGGCAGTTGAGGTCTCGGAAATCAGTCTCTAAGACTGCACGCTGTAACTTTTGCAATACATCACCAAAACCGTTAAAGAGAAGCTTGTAACACAGCAAATGCAAACCGCTGTAATAATAAACAGGATTTTCATACTGCAGCAGAGACTACTGCTTTTGGCTAATTTCCACTCCATTCCAATAGAATGAGGTTATAAGTATGAAAAAATGTGTTTCTACATAGAAAACAAACAAACAAAAAACCCCAACAACCTTCCTCCCTCTCCAAAACCTTTCTGTGGAGTCCTTTAAGTTAGGAGTTTCATTTCTCACTTTATTTGAGTGGGGAAAATAGGAGGGAAACCTAGGTCTTTTCTAGGGCTATATTTGTGCATATATGAGGTTGTCTTTAAATAGAATTACAATTCTGTCATCATTTTGTGGCAGATACGTATGCAAAAATGTAGCTGACTTGTTGCTTGACTGCAGAGGGCACAGTGCATGGATGCTGCAATTTTTTTTTCAAAATCTGGCTCAGTGTGTAATGACTGTGTCATGTCTTTAGCTGATGCAAGCAGTGTGGGCTTGAAGACAATGTAGCTGTAAAAGCTTATGCCTGTGTTTCTAGAAATGGAAATACTTGGGTCCATGCTCTTAAGAAGTTGAGGTTTGTATGATCATGTAATACACATATGTGTATCTGTATGTGTTTTAAAAAACAAACAAACATTGCTGGCTAATCTTTAACAGTATTTTTTTCTTTTTACTTAGTATCTTACCTGAAAAGAAAGCAAATAACCCAACAAATTACACTTCACGTAAGTAGGAACATACCATAAGTAGTCTCAGGTATTACAGATAGGCCAATGACACTTTTTCTGCCTCCCCCAAACCAAAAATAGGAAATGCCGTTTGCCATGATAAATTACACAACTGGTTCTGAAAGTGACTGTTGAAAGCACTTCCTCCCAATTCATACTGATATCCCCTAGTGATATACAGAATGCAGATGACGTAAATCTAAATTAGTGCTATTTAGTGCTACAGTGGCTGCGTTATTGCAACGCATGCTTCGAGACGGTAAGTATGGTCTTATGAACAGGACAAGTGACAGCTGTTTGACTCTGGGCAAGAAGCTGCCAGCAAGAGTATTGTAATCTTCTGGGTCTGAAAGTAGCTGGGAAAAGGGAATACTTTCCAGAGAACATTTTCCCTAAGGGGGAGGATCAGTGAGAGACCATATTGTTGATCCGTTGAAAATTAGCCAAAAGAATAGGCTTCATTGACTAACCTCCTTATTAAAAACAAAGCCTATTCTAATTTCAGCATCTCTGAATTTTATTTGCAGGTAATCAAGACAAATGTACAAAAAGTCAGTGTCTCTGGTGTTAATGAACAGTGAGGTAGAGAGCAATTGAGTTCTAGTAGAAAAAAACTGGGTTTACACCAAGCAAATGATCTCAAAAGTTGCTGGGCTCCTCCCAGGAAAGAAGGCAAAGGCTTAACTTTATGCAGTACAGGTCACATTAGTGAGACAGTGCAAGTAGAAATTGTTATGTTATCAACTAAAGACATTGATCCCATATCAGAGATAATTAAGCATAGCAGATGTTTCATATCAGAGCACAGATCCAGAGGATCTTAGTCCATAAACAGAGGAGTCTATTTGCATATTTTATTTTATATTAAATACCCATAATAATTCTTTTTTCATTATAATAATTTGCATTATCATGTTTTTTTTATTTGCAGGTAATCAAGACAAATGTACAAAAAAACAGGAGTCCGAATTTTCAAGAGAATTCTGCATCCATTGGGAAGTGCTCAGTAAATAAAGAAGACAGTGCAAAACTAACATTAATAAGAATCACCTTACTTATCAGTTTCCATTGTTTTGCTTTGACTATTAAAAATAAAATTCAAGACATTTTTTTCCTGTTAACATGATTACCCTATAAATTCAGTCTCACTTGAGGTACGATTACCCATGGTCATCAGGATTTCCCTTTTATACATTTGCTTTTATTATGATATCTTATCTCTTTTTTTCTCTAGGTAAAGGATGCTGGAGATCTCTAGCTAATATATCTTAGTTTACTATAATCTCTCATGTGCCTTAGCTTGAAAATGCTGTCTACCAATTTCTCCTAATGCATTAAGTGCTTTCTCATAATCAGCAAATGCCATGTCTAGCAGCAAATCATATATGTTTGCATTTCCATTCTGCCATTAATCACGCTGCTGTGAAATACCCAACTAAAGATTATCAATTCTTTCGTCTGGCTAAAAACCTACTAAAGAACTGATTTATGAATGAGTTTTTTGTTTTCTTAACATTTTAGGTCAAGGACAGAAGTGTGAAATGGCTGTGGTCACTGAAATCTCGATTGGAGTTAGGAGTTTGCTGGACTGCAGAGCAGTTGTAGATTTACATATTCATACGCATGTGGACTCTTTTTTTTTCAGTGTGTGTCCATTAGCTGAATGGGTGCTCTTCTCCTAGACACTTCTTACTGCATATCACAAACTCTTTTGTTTGTTTACTAATTTTCAAGCTTCTTAAGAAGATAATTTTCCCTGCCAGCAGAGTCACATTGCTCAGAAAATACAAGTAAATGAAAGCTTCTGAACAAAATATCACAGAAATGTACCTACTTGTGATGGTGTTGCTGATATCTAGTTCATCATATGAGGTAAACATTTGCTCAAAGCTTATATTTACTAATATGAAGACAACTTTAAAGTCCCATTTTCCTGACTTTTACCAGTGATTCCTGGGTGTCTGGATTCCCTGAAGACCTAAGGACAGGATTGAAGCATTTATACTGGCTGCTTCTGTTCCTACAGTATTATGGGACAAAAGAGTGGATAGAGAATATGTCTGACACAGAAGTCAATAGAGCTTTATGCTGTACTGGGAAGAAGACCTTAGCAAAACCAGCAGGCTGTTAAACAGCAAACTACACTGACTGCTGTCTTCATATGCAGAAATTGGTTTATCTTCTCATTACTGTTTGAGGAGGCTTCTGCCCTTGATAAAGATGCTTCTTCAAAAAGAGTGCAGCTCATGAAAATCTGAGTCTGCATTATGAATACCATAGGGGCAGAAATCTTTCATAAGGGCATAAGCCAAGCATAATGAAAGAGAAAGTGAAGGGAGTAATCATTTAAAGGAGGTCAGGCACCAACCAAATGAAACTTCTTACACTGCAGCAGACCCAGGGCCTGGTTCCTCCTGGTCAACAGGTCAAGGACTGCATTTCTTCCCAGGGGAGGAAACCTCCGGGCAGATGTGGGTGTAGCTCAGAAACGATATACATTTTTAGCCTCCTCTCACCCCAACTGATTATCAGGAATGTGCAGAAACAAAGGACTGACCCCAGCTCTCAGTAATGCCCAGGAATGATGTACTGAGCTAGGCTGAAGGGATAGGTTTGTATATCCCGCCATTCAGTGGGCACTTTCCACAAAAACCCAAATACCTTGCCATTGTGTACACTTCGACAAGTCAATCCTCACTGAAAGCTTATGAAACAAAGCAGGTCACTGTTGCATATCTGAAGGTCAATACATTATCGTTTAGACACAGGATTATAATTTATAAGCATATTAGCTTCTTAAAAAGAGGTACACAGTCAATGTCAAGTCTATTTTTCACACAAGTAAATTTCAGATGGCATTAGTAATCTATGTTCAGAAAAATTACTAAGATGGTTCACTGGGTAACAACACTATTTCCTTCTGACCTGAAAGGGAAAAGAGATTTCTCACAGAAACAAACCAACCTTTTTTTTTCTTTTTTTTTTCTTTAAATAAAATAAAAAAGATAGAGTCCTCACCTTACAAACTCTCCCAACTCGGGAAAGGATTGTCTTGTCAGACGTGCCACTATCTTGTGATATTTCTCGGAAAAAGAAGTAGATTTTGTCATCATCTGGGTTATAGGTGTCCGGAATGGGAAAAGTTCCAATGAATTTCGCTCCTAGAAGTTCCCAAAAAAAGGTTTTAAAAATCTGAAGAAAAGTCTTAATACTTGCTACTAAATTTCTGCTTCAGTATCTGTGTTTATGTTGCATCTTCCAGTGAAATAAAAATATTACTATATAGACATGTAGTGGCAAGTTTCTTACTAACCCCAAGTGAAAACCACTATAGATTCTGAAGTATTTACTCTTAGTGTGATGTTTTTGTGTATATATCATATTACCACTTGCATAAATATGCAGCACTGGCTATCATTCCCTGTTTGAAAATAGGATAACTCTCAGTACAAAATATTGCCTACAAAAATCTGCCTTACTCCTCTTGCCACCAAGCTAAGTAGATTTTCTGAAATCACAGAATTTAAATTAATTTATTTACACATTGCAGCAGTTATGAGTACAGAAATACACTACTGTTTACTAGAGATATCTTGCAAAGGAATGAAAGAACCTTTATTGATCCATGGGATTAAAAATTCAATATAAATGACAGCTTTCCCAAGTTAAAAGTTTCCTAAATATCTGTGCTATAACAATCTTACTATATCTACCAAATCCAAAACAGTGCCATGCTGGGATTCCCAGGTTAGCACACCAAACTCCACAAATGACTGGTTAGTCTTAAGGACACAGTTCCTTGTTGTGCATAAAAACAGATTAGCTATATTGACGTAATGGTTTGTTTGGGTAATTTAAATATGCTTTTTGCAAGAAATGCTACAGCATGCCTTGCCTTGACATGCTGAGCCATTATATTACTTCTGGTCTCTTCCAAAGCAAGCTTGGGTGTCTCTGCCTGCATCTTACAGGCATGCTTATTGGGCCAAGAATTTAATAAATGTCCTTCACTGTCTTCCTCAGCTCCCTCATCCATGATCTCCAGTCCTGCTTTACCTGCTCACCAGCTTTTTTGGTTTTGTTTTGGATTTGGTTTCTTTTTTTCTTTAAATCTTGCACTAAAATCAGAAATTAAACTAATTCCAGGGGTCCCTGACTGCAGAGAGCAGGCAACAACACTGTCTTGCACAAGTGAACCAGATACTTGGGGAAATGGTTTTTAAGACATTCCCCAATGTGCTACAATAGATGAGCTCTTCTGAGGGCACTTGGATCAATGATGTTTTTCTTTAAACGGAAGTGGCTATACAAATATGGTGCAAAGAGACCCTTGACTCTAAAATACATTCTTTCAGCAATAAAGTACACAGTCTTTGTCCCCCATAACCAGGCAGGCTGCAGTAGAAAGCAGTAAGGAGGATGGCGTAAGATGGTAGAGCAAACAGAGCACGCTGGTGATATGTGGGGAATACTATTATCAGCTTTTAATGTATCTTCATGCCTTTGTCCTTTTTACAATGATTGTTACTTTATATTAGCCTTGAGGAATTTTCACCATGAACGCTACAGTACACACGGGACAAAAAGAGGGTCTTTGATTCAAAAGTTCACAGCCGAAGGCTTGAGACAAAATGGGATGTGTTTAAGTGCTGAATGTGCACCTTCATGACAGAAGAGTAAATTTATGGGTCAAAATAGCCACAGTGCTGCTTCCATTTTAAACCTTTCTGACACTAGAGAGTGTCATCAGCAGAAAAATGAAATGATGCAGGCGTCAAGCTCTATAAATTTAAGTTAGGATTTCAAAATGAGCCTAAAGAAAATATTCAATTACCCCTCAGGGCCTGTAAGGCTACTTTGAAGATTAGATCTCTAAATGTGAATAAATACATAAATACGCTTCCAGTATGGTTTCTTAAATATGCAGTTAGCTAAATAGCCATTTAATAGGAAAACCTGTGAAATACTTCTATTGCATGCTTTTGAATTTCACATAGATTTTTTTTTTTTTTTTAATCCACATTCACAGAACAAAACCCTGAATATATGTTTTTTTTAAATTAAATTTCATTGCTTTACTTGGCAAACCAAATGCAAAAACAAATGTCTCAATACCAATTCCTGGAACAGATTTAGAAGAATCTCTAACAAATTAAAGGAACACAAATATTTAATGATTTTAAATCACAATTGAAAACACTGAAGTTGAAAGTTAAATCCAAACAAAAATACACTGTAAAAGATATGAAGACAAAGAGACTGAAAACAATTTAATGAAAGAGATCATGATCTGAAAAGCACATTATGTTCTGCAAGTGAGATCTTTGTCTCATCATTTGTAATCCATCCATACAACACAGAAAAGTGCATTTAAACGAACTGTGAATTAGGTTTTTGGATTCTTTGCATGGGAAACAAATTATGTGATGATGATTTTAAACTACTGTTTGTTTTCCCATACACACGGTTGTCCCCCCCCCTCCCCGCCCCAATCGCTTCAATAGAAGGTTTTCCCACATATTAATTTCATGACTAGATTGTATGTAACCAAACGGGATTAAAGGCATCACGAGCTCTGACAATAGATGGTAGAATAAATTCAGCTGTTGCTCGTGCTTTTTTGAACATGCTCTTGTGGCCGAGTGGGAAGAGCAGTTACACCTAGTCCTTCACTGCCGGGTTCGCTGGAGTGGTCATGTTTGCTGTTGGTTACCTGCCGGCTATCCCACCCTTCTAACACCAGCAGTAGTTTTAGACAGTGCAACCGTGCATGCCTTAGTAAGACCTACAGAGAAGTGAGACTCCTGAGGCTCAGCAAAAGAGGACAGCAAACGAGTAGCAAATCCCAGAACACGAAGAAATGAAAAAGCAACCCAAAACAGTAGGAGGCAGCAGCTCTTTGTGCTGCTGCCAGAAATATGTGGCATGATGAAATGCAAAGTACAGTGTGCACCTCATTTACCTTTAACTGTCTAGAAGTCAAGCTCCTAACCTATACTCATCCAGGTCCCCTCTCAGGGAGGGACACAAGGGAGAAAGTGACAATGAATAATCCTATTTTAAGACAGATTCCTACAATAGGTGGGGTGAGTCACCCTCTGGAAGCGTCACCTCTCTCTGTAAATTACAGACAGAGACAACCGAAACGACTGAGCTCAGACAGGATGCTAACTTTTGCCTTTTAGAGCTAAGTGAGCTGAATCCCATCCAAAGTTCGCAGGATATAAAGAAGTCATTGCCTGCAAGTCTTTGCCCTGTCAAAGATGACTGAATTGCAATGAAAAAAAAAAAAAAAAATTTCAAAAAAGATGAATGCAGTTCAGGGAAGCTTTCATTCCAACCATGGCTTTAGCTTCCTATAAAGGGGGGAGGAATGTGCAGCTGTTTAGTGCATGCCTGTATGTAGGGCTCGGGTATCCCACCACGGGACGCCCTCCTCTGCCCGCTGGGCTGGAGCGGGGCCGAGGCGGTTCCAGCGGGTGGCTTTGCCATCCAGAGCGGGGCCACCAGCCCCACGTGCCTCATCCCCTGCCCCGGCCACGGGTGAGGCAGCTCCGGTCAGCGGCTGCGGGAGCGCCCGATTCTTCAGCTCTGCAGGAGAAGGGCTGAAGTCTGAGCAGAGGCAGCATCCCCTCTGCCTTCAGTGCCACGGCACAGGAGTATGAGCCTGTGTGAGCATGAGTCATGGGAAAGATTAGCTGCCTTCCTCCCTTTCTCCATTGTAGAGTTACTATTCAGTCATTGAGATTAAGACATGTCTTAATTAGTCAAGATAGAGATGCCCTGCAAGGAACTGGAAAGTATCCTACGCATTTTTCCCTTATGCTTTGTCTTTCCCTCCCTTCCCTCAAGAAAGGATAATTCTGTTTCCAGAAACAGAGTAAGACTAAACTTTAAAAATATTAAGGTGCATTATAGCAAAACTTCCTCAGCCCTCTGGAAAAAAGCAAGTTATACATTTTATGCTTATCCTAAGTAAAACACGAGGCACGCCTGGAAATAATTTATTTCTAATTGTACAATTACTCAAGTATGTACAACTTTTCCTGGAGGTCTAACACATGCTTGGTAAATGGGTAGTAGATCTAGGGAAGAGGGGATTTAGATGAGATGGGAGTTTTAAATCTGAAATCAAGTAAATATTTTCTTTATACCAATATCGGCTGAAAGCACAAATGTATGTAATTGGTAATGTTACACAATAAACTAGAAATACATTGGCTACCCTATGGCTTATTGCAGAGATGATCTCATCATTTAGAGCTGCATTCAAAATTTTCTCCAACCTTAAGAGGACTGTTTCAAAATATTAAAATCACCTAGTTTATATCTATGCCTCTTAGTATAACACTGCATGGATTGTGTATGTGAAGTCTTAGACAGAGTGTGGCTGTAGTTTTTTATATAGTTGGAAACAAGGTAAACCTGAAGAATATATGGGGTCTTCAGTGTTTATACAGTGGGGGGTAATTTTCACATCGCAGTCTAACACACTAAAGCAGTTTTTCAAACCCAGACATATTAATATATTATTCTCCTTAGAAAACTTTCACAAATACAGATGCTTTAAGTGAAACAGAATAAAAATGAATCAATCTAAAAGAAAGAAGAAAGGCAGACACCTCCCACCCAGCCTCCAAACTAAACCACATACAGTTCTCAAACCTTTAGTTTATCCTGTGTTCTTGTACTGTTCCCTTGCCTCAAACTGCTCATGAAGAAACATTAATAGCATAAAGAAATATTTGGAGCTGGATATTTAAGCTATAAGTTGTTTTGGGCTGGGAACTGAACCCTGTAATGCTCATCAAGGTAGATCTATACTAATGATATCACCAGATGCTCCTCAGGACCAAACTGCAGTAAATCTTTCTTTTTAGGATATTATAGCACCCTTAGGAAAGCAGCTACCCCAACCATCTTTCCATGCTGGGCATCAGCAGGCCGCCAGTGATAAAATTGGATATTCAGTTGCACGGTTAGTTACAGTTAGAGAACTGCCTGCTGGAAGGACCCATCCTGGTCCATATCGCTTACAGCCCATTTCTGGTCTAGATTCCACAAGAGATGTGTAGAAATGAGACTTAGGAGATAGGAAAGGTGGGACAAGAAAGGTTTTGAGCACAGGAGGGGAAAGTAGGATAGGTCAGCAGGGTCAGATGTGGGATTTTTCTATCTGTCTGAAGGACTGCTCCTATTTGGAAAGGTAAAATGACTTTAAGTGGCTTCTCCTTTCCTCCCCATCTCCCAGCAGAAATCCTGAGGTTATGGAGTTACACCTAGACAGAAACATAAGGCAACAGCTTAGAAGAAGGGAGAGAAGGAGTAGGAAAAAAAAAAAAAATGGAAAAAAGAAAACTTCCTCTTGTTGAGGTCTCAAAGGGTTAAGAGGCAAAATTATCCCTTTCAGAAGTTGTCTGCTGGGAAGACAACTTAGCCCTGTGGTCAGCAGGCCCTGGCTTTACAATACACCCATAATAGCTACACAGGCATCCTGAATCAGGGCCAGCGTTGCCACATCTTTAAAGACAGTTGACGGCTAAAAGGGGGATGCTTTAATTGAGCAGGGTTAGCTTGTGAGAGAAGTTTTCCATGTTACACTGTGTGTGGTTTGAGACTGACTGGGTGTAAATGCAGCCAGTTTTTTAAGGGTTTACTAGCTCAGAATGTTTTTTAACGGGCAAGAAAAAGCAGTGTTTTGCTTGGGAAGCTATTTTAGGGTGCCCTTAGTGGTTTTAAAATGATCCTCACAGCAACAAAGGGTATTTTTCCCCCCTCAAAAAAGGAAAAGGGAAAAAAAAAAGACCTCCTACCTAAAAACATGGAATTTCTAGTCTGTCATTTCAACATGCTGTAGGGATGTGATCGGAAAAAAGGGTTTAAAAAAAAATTATTCCAACAAGACTGGAAATAGAAGCATTTAAGTCATGATATTATTCCAACTACAGGACTATATACAGATGTATAGATCAAAGACGGAAAGAATGATTAGCTCTTATACCCCTACTCTTTCCTTAATTAACATTTTCACCTCTGTGACTTTTCTCAAGTGCATTTTTGTTCCACTGAGCTTTTTTAAAAAAAGCCTACGTAATCCAAAGATACCATGATATAATATCTATATTTATAGTTACCGGACATATATAAGAAAGGGCCTATTAAGTTCAGAGAGGCAGGGACAATACAAATGACAACAGCATATGTTTGGGATCTTACCAGTAAGCCAGTAATGTTCAGAAATGTCCGTTCTGATGTAATGGTGGTCGTGAGAAGGGCCCAGAGAACGTGTTAGAGCAGTGTCCTTGCCAAGGAAATCAGAAGCTGTTCCAGCATAAAGATACTCATCTGCAAATGAAAAAGAAATAGGGTTTCTACAGCTGTGGGGTAAACAAAATTAAAATTATTTGTGTTTTGCTGGGTGAACCACACCTGTGTTTAATTGGCCTATGAACTAATTTAATGTTTTAACATGTTATTGGTTTATATTTTAATGGGATTTTGGGTTCTGCGGAGTTACTTACATTTAGATGAGGGTAATATTTGTAATGATATGCCTGAGAAGTAAAGGAGACCAAGTCTAATTTTCAGATCTTTTAGGCACTCAGAAAATTAAATCCCCCAGGCTTAATGGGTGCTGGGCTCTTAAGGGTATAAAGGTGTATTTGATCTGAGCATCCTGCCCTGTCAGCACTGACCATGGACATGGGGGCCGTGGTGAGAACATGACCATTTATCGATTCAAGCTAGCTCTTCTGTCCCAGACTTGCCACAGCTCTGATGGCTTTGCTGCTCCTGGGCTTGAGCGAGTAAATACGATGGATGCTTCACTATGGGAACCTCACAGCTTGGCCCTTTCCTGGTGTAGGGATCTCCGTCCAACACTTCATTCACAAAGAGGAATTTAGGCACTATGGGAATTATTCTCAACTACGTAACATGTTAATGGTAGGAATATGGCTACAGACCCAAATCATGCTCATTTTAACATAGCGAGTGGTCCCACTAAAATAAATGAGACATCTTGCTTAATAAGGCAGCAAGAATTTGTCTCACAAGGAAACTGTATCTACAATACAGTACAGTGCGCTTGCTGCAATTGCAGTTACTGTTTAGTCTTCTGCCAGCTTTGTGGGCAATGCAAAACTTCACAACCTTAAGAATTGCACAATATTTTCTGTTTTCCTTCAGATTTCAGTGCTTTTCTACAAAGAAGCAAAGAAACAGCATCACTGAATTATTTTTTACCACATAGTGCATTTTACAGTTCTCTTTTTTCTGCAAAATAACACAAAATAGTTTTATTGCTTGGAGGAGTTTGGCTTTTGTTTAATGACTTGCAACAATAAATCCCTGGAGTCTGTAAAAAGAAAAAAGGTTCATAAACGATAATCATTTAAAAAGCTATATGATACATAAAAATCCCCTTCCAGGAGTTCCTTCTCCAGGTTTTCTGGTACTCTGGGTGGAAACATTTCACAAGATCTTTTAGAGCGAAGTCCTTTATTGAGAGTGAATGCAGAATAAATACCATCCAACATAGGTGTTGTGTGTTTTCATTTGCAAAAGATGTAAATGCACTTAAAAAAATAAGATCAAGGGGGAAAAAAAAAAACCCCTCAACCACGATCCACAAGTACTTTATTTGGCCAAAAAAACTATCAGCTTTCTTTTTTCCTCAGCATTATTGTTACTGATGTATTATTTCCATGGCAGTATTGGAAAGCACATCTTTCAGACAGCATGTCGCCCTTGTAAAGAAACAATAGCGCATTCTGAAAGGTATTTGTCATAATGAGGAATGGGCAGGGTAATTGGTGTTTGCTAACTGACAGGCACTCAGTGATCGATAAATCTGAAGGGCTAACAGAAATTCTCCATCTTTGCTTAGGCTCTGCTGACAAGGCGTTTTCAGCACTTCTCTCAGCTTTTAATATCTCTCATTCCAAGTTCTAGTTATTTCCAGAACAGTTTTGGTGAGCAGTAATTTGTAAAAGAAGATGGATGATGAGCAGGTGGTTTTTCAGTCAGAAAGACTAGCTTTTCAAATTTATCTGTGGAATTTACTTGGGGCAAAATGCTGTGTAGATTTCAAAGAGAGATTACTCATTTCTACAAAGAGTCAAAATTATTCAGCTGTATTAACCTACATACATGAGTGAAAATACAATGAAATATTATTTAGCTCATACATGTATAACGATTACAAAGTGCTTTCTGAATGGTACAAGTAATATTTACCGCCATTTAGCAGATAAATAAAACTAGGCAGAGAGAAGTGACATGCCAAAGGTTACTCCTCTCGCCAGTGGCAGAGACAAGAACTGAGGTCCCCTGCATCCCAGTTCAGTATCTCATCCATGAGCTATACTGCCCTCCTAGTACTTTTGGGAATAAAGTAATCATCAAAAGATAGGCCAAGAACGCATTCTCTGGTCAGGCCTGTAACTCTTTACAATGCTGCTTGTACAGTATTGCGAAGCATTTGACACCAGGCACAGTCAGAGTGTCAGAATACCCTGACCATTAATTTTATCTAGCCTGAAAATGCCTATGTACAGAAGTTCATGTTTTAGTTAGCTAAAAGACGGCAGCTTCTTCGTTTCACAAGATTTAATAGTCAAAGCACTAGAGTGCTACTGAAATTAGCCAATGCAATAATAAATCATAGAGTTCTATCGCATTTAAGAAAAAAAAGAAAAAAAAAAAGTTAAAGTTTCTAGAATCCCATTTTAAAAATAGACTTCACGGTCATTAAACAGTACTAGGGGTCCCTGAGAAGAATAAGCGCTGGCTTTAATCTATTGTTTTTAATAAAGGAAGTCCTGCCCCATCTGTTGGGTCAGAATCACAAATCATCTATCTTATTATCTGAGAATAAAGACTGAACATTAGTCATATTCTTTTTATAACACAGAGTGACCGATACTTCAAAGCATTGTCACCACTGCTCTTTGGTTGTAAATGAAAACGTCATGGTGCTTCACTCTTATCTTGTATTCATACGCTTGACGGACAAGTTAAATGAAAATTGTCCAAAGCTATGAACCAAACCATGACAAAAGTGGCTCTTATAGTGATTTGAAATCCGGAGGTCAAGCTGACATTCCTCGGCACCAAATGTCAGACCACACAGCGCTGCGATGCGCACAGCAGGCAGATTGCACTATCTTGTTCCTAGGCTTCCAGCTTCAGAAGTGGCTACTCGAGTAAATAGAAACCTCAAAAATGTATTTATGGAAATAGTGGATGTCAGCAGACTTCAAAGGGCAGAACATATTGATAATTGCAGAAAGAGGCCCAGAAGCGCTTGGAACATTGTCCGTCCATGTGTTTTTTTTTTGTTGTTGTCCTCTTAAAGGAGAAATGACTGGGTGAGGATGAAACCACCTTCCTGCTCAACCAGCCAGAGGCTTCACAGCCGCTCAAATGTCTCTGTGTTGCTGCATTTCCAGCTCATTGGTGTCTGCAGACTGAAGGCTCCCTCAGCTCCGAGAACACAAACCAGCATCGGAAACATGGCTAATGCCAAAGGAGCTCCAACGATGGCATCTGCTGAGCCTCTGACCCCAGGCTCGTGTACAAAGCCACCACACGTTTGAGAGGAGCACCTGGCTCTGATCGTTTCTTACCTGCCATCACTGAAGCAAATGGCTGCTGAGGATCGAAAGGGCATTTCAACCTGCCAGACTCCAAGTTCTGAGTATCCAGCCGGAATACCATTTCCTGAGAATAAACACATTTTCATTATCCTCGTGTGGCTACAGAGAAAAACTCACTTAGACGAACTGTTCTGCTAACACATGAAGTGAAGGTGTATTAGATCGCACAGTTGTCGTCTCAGCATTGATGTTTATGATCCATGTCTCTGTTTTATACCTGGATTTTTTTCACTCCTTGTTTTAACGTATCCTGTTCACTCTATAGTAAAACACAAATCTTAAAAAAATACAATTATTTTCAGAAAAAAAAGATGCATTGTTCATTTCTACTCAAATTAAAAGATGGATTGTACTTAAAAGGCACTGGCTGCTATTTGGGAAAGTGCTGATAGAGTGTGTTGCAACAGGAGACCCAGAAGGGATTCTGGCTGACTCCTAAATTTCTCCAGGGACTGCTGAATAATGTTCGTGGCAGACACAGTTCAGCCCCTTTTAAATGAAAGCAGCATATGCTCTCTCTTGTTATTTTTAACAAGGCTAATGATACAAGAGATATCAGAATAGATCCTTCTTTGCGGTTCCCAAATACACTGTGATTAATTCCTGGGTCACAGAACAAGAGCATAGAGGAAGATAAAGAAAAGAAATTATTTAAAAACTATTTCTGATGTTTTCAGTAGGCAATCAACAACTCAATTGTTGTAGGCAGTAATTTGAAGTTTTACTATAGTTTTGAATTGCCAAAATGGATGCTTTTACTTGTTTCTTTCACTAGTTTCCTAAAAGCACGCTTAACCTGAAACCCGCAGTGAGTCCTTGTGAAAGTAAATTGATTGTTCAGAGAAGCAAAGAGAAGTCTTTGCAGATATAGAGACTTGATTTTCAGAATTCTGCCACTGTTAGAGAAGGGAGGTTGCCTACAGAAGTACTGCTAACATCCTCTCCTACCTACAGTGATATTTAAAATCCCACTAGCATTCAGGAATCAAGTCATTGTGGGTTTAATGTCTATTGTAGAGACATAACTTTTGAAGTTAGTGTAAAAAAACCCAAAACATCTCCATGATTTAAACAATTACTTTAAAAAGTTTGTTTCTTTAATTATTTGTTTCTATACCTCCGCCTTGCAAGAGGACTGAAGAGTACAAATGACAGCTAAGTATGCCCAATGATGACCATGTAGGATCAGACTTCACAACACATTAATTCAATTCATCCTTAATGTACATCAGATTATAAATGATCAAACCTTTCTATTTCATTGAGGTGTCTCCTAAATTCTCTAGGCTTAGATGACAAAAGCCAGGATATTGAATAATTAAGCTCCTTAAGAGGAAAGAAAAATCAATTCCAATCTATGAACATAAATTCCATTTCCTCCAGCAGTCCTGGCTGCTAGAGAGCAGAATTTCATCATCAAACAACCCTTGTTATCTTCCCAAACTTGTGGGATATCAGGTAAACCAAATTCTCAGGCTAAAGTGGATCAGAGCACATCAAGGACAAAACTACATTAAAAATTAAGCATTTTTTTTTGCTGACAATGCTATGTTAGTGTCCCATTCTCCTTTCTTCTAAGATGTGCAATCCTGAGCTGCTCAGAGGACCCTTGCTGTGTCACATGCAAAGGGGCTGTCTCCAAGTCCAGCAGTACACAGGGGACTGAGGGCTTCGTAGAGCAACATCAGATATTTCAGACTTCACCCAGACAAACTAATGGACACTACCAGGCATTCACACAGAATTAACCTCCTGCTTTCACTTCGGACAAAGCTTTCAAAGAAAAGAGCATCCCTTGGAGAGCTGTGGCTAACAGCACCAACCGGGCCAAACCTCTTCTTCACCAGCCAAGAGAAGTTTTGGCAACGACTTCAGCAATAGCAAGGCTAGGACTTTAATCCCCTTTAATTGTGTGATCCCGTAGGGGATTTGTACTGCTTCAGAAGCGGTGTGTGCTGTGGTTTGGAGTCACCTGATCCGCACTGTTTTCCCCTCTCTTTTCACAGCACTGTCACTGGCCAGCAGACCACTGGGCAGATCCACCAGCAGCTTTCAAAGGGCAGCGGGGCACTGCCTGGGCTCCCAGCTCCGTGAGGCTGTCTCAGGCCCTGCATCTCCCAAGCAGCCCACAGCTTCCTGCAGAGGTTGCTAATTACTGAACATCCATTATCCATTCTTATAACCCAGAGACAAAGAAAAAGAAAAAAAAGGGGAAATAAAAGAAAAAAAAAGACTAAAAGAACAGATCTGCGATAAAAGTGCTTTGAATTACCACGTAGGACTCCTGACTTCAGTTCCTACAACCAGGAGATGATTTCAGCTGTCTGTCAAATTCAGGTCAATGGGCCTGTCCTCAGCACCCTCCCGCCTTGTGACACTTATCTGGAGAGGCAGTGCAAGGACAGTGGCTGTAAGGTGTCTGGGGTTCAAGAAGGAAAGGGAAAATATGCCTGATGCCATTCAAAGCTGTTAATTCAGTAGGAGGTTGTAGCAGAGATGCACCATCAGGAGAGGCATGAGTAGTGCTGAACACTGTCCAATCTACCACTGCAGCCGAGCAACCAGGAGGAATGCAGGAGAGGCAGGACTGGGAGACAGTGAGGGGATTAGGAAATACAATACCGGGATTCTTCTTCCATTTCCTCTCACAAGGTAATTGGTCATGTCTAGTTGAGACAGACCCCTTGTCTAGACTGGCTGCCGGACTGAACAATCAGACCAAATCCATAATTTCATAATGTCTGATGAAAACAACCTTCACAAATTAAGTAGTTAAAGGTGCAATGATAGAGTGAATAAGGAATCTTGCTAATGACCCAGAGGTAAACCAGAGCCCTACTTATACTCTTGCTGAGAACTGTTCTGTTCAATTCAGCTGTGTATTTGATCATTCAAGCTAAGGAATCAGCATGATACAAGGGATCTAAAATTTCAGTTGCTTCAACTGGAATATTTAAAGTAGGAAGCAAAGAAACCTACAAAATTATTTCTTTGCAAGCCCAATTATACAGCATATACCAAACAATACCAGGAGCATTAATGGCTT